TTTTTGTGTGATCCTCTGTACAAAATGAGACAAGGACGGGTACCGGGTCAGGGCATGGGATCATCAGTGTTCCAGCAGACTTTGGTGAGCACTGTGATGTATAGTGTCTTAAGTCAGAGAAAATAAACTAGTATTAGAGGTCAAAGCACTAGAGGATTCGACATTTGCCAAACTTGTGTCGGGGTTGCTTTTTTATATAAGCATGTAGAGATTCTTGATCACAGCATAAGAAGGACTCAAAAATTAAAGGGGTTTTTAAAGAAAGTATAGACGCTGTCCAGTTCATCTAGATCACAAGCGTTCATCCTTTTCACTGCTGGTTAGCAACCATTTCTCATGAATCATGTCTAACACACGTTTTATAGTCGAACTTTAAATGTTGACAGATCGTGTTTCAGGATCAACGATCTTCAGCAAAACAAAACTGTGTTGGTAGAAAACAGTGACTTCAGCTTTTAGTTTTACTTGGTGCCACGATAGAGTAATCACGTAACCACTGTACATGTCTTCCTTGACTGCATGTTTGACAACGGAATAAATATTTGCAAAACAGTTACAATCAGAACCCAGAATCTAAGAACAGCCTTAAAAGAGTGAAGGTTGAGCTACTTTTAAAGAATCAACAAGATTTCTAATGTCTACCTTAAACTGCTACAATAAGTTATTAGGAGAAATAAGTATACCCTCTCTCAGTTCTGCTTTAATGTATAAGGACATAATAAAATGTTTAGGTGTTTGCCAAGTTCTAAAAATATTGTAATCAGATCTCTAATACAAACACACAGAGCACTATAAGCAAAGAAGAAGTCAACATGGAAAACCTGATTGTGTAAATTCGCCCATTTTAAAGATTCTAGAGCCATATCTTTGTCTCTCAAATCAAAATAAGCTAATATCCTTTTTTTCTAAGGCTCTTCAGCGACTGATTAACATATAAGTAAAGTAAGAGTTTGAAATAGTTAAATCAGTATATAAGTGTTAATTTTCAAAGCATAACACTTTCTCTTTAAATTGTTAAATATATTGAGTAAATTCGAATTTAAGTTTATTTTTGTTTAATTAAATCATTACACAATTGAAACTACTTTGATGAAAAATATTTAAAATCCTTAATTACATCTATTACTAGATCCTGCTGATTCTCAGTCTAAATATGCCATTACATTAATTTATCAGTAAGAGTCTAATTTCTTCATTTGATACATATCTATCTCATTGCTCCTCATTTCACATAGAGACCAGAGAATTCATCCTTCGTACTGATTTTTAGCCAAAGAACAGACATTAAAAGGGTTTGACAAACACATTAATGGCATCAACTGTCAACTAATAAACTTACTTTGAAATAGAAAATGTCTGGACAACCCCATCATTAGGTATTTTCAGTTTGGTCTGACATCCAAATACAAATATGTGTTGACACTTTCAACAGGAATACTTGACCTGTCTTTGCCAAGAACAGAAAATGTAATCCAGATTTTGTTGTCCAGCAGAACTCACAACATATGAGTCGTCATGAAACAGAACTGAAGAATAACTATCGGGATCCCTACAAGGCCCACACATCTAGGTAATGTCTAGCTAATGAAACAATGCTGCAAACAATTTCTAGGGTGAATTAAAAAGCTTCCAAAAATGCTGTTATAGAAATTTAAAAACCTGGGGGAAAAAACAAGTTGTGTGAACAACCTTCAACTAGGATGAAAAAAGCCATCTGGGGAAAGTTATTCTCATTATAACAAAAGGTTAACAGAGATTTCCATCAGCCTGTTTCACTTTCTCAGGAGGGTAAATCATTCTGTTATAGTAAAACACACACCACCTTTTTCTTCTTTTTTTTATCATGTCCTCTGTTTTGTGAGAGAAGAGGAATTGGCAAACAAATCAACAGCATTATCCTCTGTGATTCTGAGGAAACAAATCAAACTCATGTGGGACAGAACAATATGCCCGCCTAACCATCCGTAAAAAAAATAAGATCCTTTTAACTGGAATCAATAGATCTCACTTCCCTGCCAACCACAGACAAATTCAGTCTACTTTGAAGTCTACATTTAAAGGGAATACATTGACATATTTTAGAGTCAGAAAACCAAAAACCTTGAAAGCGTGAAACATGAATACACATTTGGGAAGCAAAACTTATCTGCAGATTGTAAAAATCATAGTTTCAATACTCTTTGATGGAACACAAGGATACCTGTCAGCCAAGTTAATAACATCAGGGGTAAGTACTATATACAGTGGTTAGAACAAGTATTTGATACAAGGTCGTTTTTGAGGGGTTTCCAGTTGCAAAAAAGGCCTGCAGAAGTCTTTAAATTTGATCATAAGTTGTATTCAACTGTGAGCGACTAAATCTAAAACAAAAATCCAGAAAGTCAAACTGTCTGATTTTTATTCACTTGCATTTTATTACATGACATAAGTATTTGATACACCAGAAAAACAATGCTTGATATTTGGTATGAGATATGAGAACTTTCTTGTGGTCTTTTAAGAGGTTTGCTCTTACAGCATCAGGAATTTTGGACCGCTCCTACATACAGATCTCCAGATCATTCAGGTTTGGAGGCTACCGCTGGGCATTGCGGACTTTCAATTCCCTCCAAAGATTTACGACTGGGGAAAGATTCAGCCACAACCCATTTTTAGCAAACTTACTGAAAGAAAGAGGCTGTTGGCTAAGAATTCCTGCTACATGACCCATCTATCCTGCTATCAATAAGGTGAAGTCGTTCTTTCGCGTTTTCAGAAAATAATCCCAAAAGACTGATGTTTCCACCTCTATGCTTCAGTGCGACAGTGGCATTGGATGTAGGAGTTTGCCATGAAGGATTGATGGTTCAAGCCCCAACTCCGACTTTCAGTGTCGTTGTGTCCTTGGGCAAGACACTTCACCTGCATTGTCTACTGATGGTGGTCAGAGGGCCCGGTGGCGCCAGTGTATGGCAGCTTCGCTTCTGTCAGTGAGCCCCAGGGCAGCTGTGGCTATAATGTAGCTTGCCACCATCAGTGTGTGAGTGTGTGCGTGAATGGGTGAATGAATGTAGTGTAAAGCGCATTGGTCAAGTCTCCTGACTTGAATAAAGGCGCTATTTAAGTACCATGATGTTTCCACCTCTATGCTTCATGACTTGGATTTTTTTGGGGGGTTGTACTCATCTTTTTTCTTCCTCCAAACAAGGAGGGTTTTTATTCCAAAAATCTGTATTTCTGGCCATCAACCATATTACTTTCTTTCATTCCTCCTCTGGATACTTCAGATGGTCATTGACAAACTTAAGAAAGTCTAGGATGTGTGCTGACTCGAGCAGCGGGACCTTGGATGTGCTGATCAGGTGATTGACGAGGCCCTGCTGTGTAGTTCTAGATGTATCCCTCACCTTCCTCATGATCATCGCCTCATGAGGTAAGATCCTGCCAAAATGCCCCAAACTAAGGGAGACGGACAATCATCTTGAACTTCTTTAATTTTCTTATATTATTGCCATTAGTTGTTTCCTTTTTTCCTGTTTTCATACCCTCCCATTAAAGAAAATGATGAATTTACACTATTAATTCAAATAATACAAAACTAAAAAAAGTAATAAATAAAAATGTACAAAAATTATAATCTAGGAAAATAACAAAACGATTTACAAATGTTCTTTTAAAATAATTCTAAAAAAACAAACAGCCCCAGACAAATGTAGGTGACTTGCTTATAAACACTGAACCAACAGACCTGTCAACAGGTGCAAAAGTCTGAATGAACATTTCCTGAACCTTACACAAAACACCTGATCTCAGTGTTGTTAAAGCACAGCTTTAACAATAAAGTACCTTTGTGGCTAAACCTAATTCTTGTCTCTGTGTGGATAAGCTGAAATCATAAGTGTTTAGAAAGCAAATCTTCGCTTTATGAACTCAAAATTGAACAGAAAACTTTATTGTCCATACTTTTTGTCCTGGACTGACATTAACTCTGTTTCACTTCTAAACCCTATCATGATCACATTGCAGCACTTTATGGCCATTACTTTAACCTGCCTTTTCACTTCTTTTTATCTTTCATAGCTTTTGAGATTATTTCTTAATTTCAGACCTGGACATTAGAATACCTATATGAGTCCAAAAGACTAAAAACAAATGAAAAAGTGTAGAAATTGTCATACATAAACTTTTAATGGTTTTCCATCTGTTAAGAAGGCCTGAGTAAACCTGACTTGCTAAAACATCTCCTCCCCTGAGGGTTGACGCTTTTCCCACTCATTTGTAAAGTCATGCAGCTGCCAAGAAAGCCTCATTTGTCTCAACACTGCATTCAGCCATAAACATAAATCTCGCTGGTTGTCAAAGCTAAGGCCAATAAAGCTATGAATATTCAACATTTGTCTTGGGGTTTTTAAAAGCGGCTTGAAAAATATATCTATTTGATAGCTTTGGGAGCCTGAAACTAAACAAAACTCTTCTCCTAGTGCAAGATAAATATTTCAAAATGTAGATGATCCCGTGATTACTGAACCGTAACTCAAGGATTTTAGGTCAACCACATCCACTGTAATGATTCCACTACAGGTTTGGCTGACTTTGCAGAGGATTCCCATGACACACAGTTCAATTTTAGAAGCTTGGCCTAAGCGAAGCTTTACAACCAAAGCACCTCTCCGTCCATTTTATCCCTCTGGCTGTTAGTTCAGACATACAGCTTACCCATGTGTCGGAAAGGAAAAACACTGATATCCTGTTCTTTTAATCACACAGGTGGGCAGACAGCTTTTCCCACTTGCATACAAAAGATTGTGCGCTCCACTTTGCTAATACGGTCGATAAAGACAGCAACCTCGCCTGAAGCAAGAGGGCCTGACAAGACATCTGAACAAAAACCTTGAAAGACGTTTCCCATCTTGTTTTGTTTGGCCTCTCCCTAAATGTGCATTCCTCAGGAAGTCTGAGCCCTCCTAATGAAACGAAACAAAGGAAAATAAGGAGGAAGAGCAAAAAGACAAAGTCCTTACCCCAGGCTGATGAAGCCGGATGCCGTAGAGAAGAATATTTTGTAACTTGGCTGTCGAGGCCAGGCCCATCAGTGCAGCAGACTCTTCCGCCCTCCTGCTGGTAGACGGCTCCTCTGTGCTGCTCAAATGCAGCTATGAAAAAAAAAATGTATTTTAAAAACACAGGGTTGCTAATGCAGGTTGCTGTGCTCTACTTTATTTTCAAAGTAATCCCAGACACAGAAGCTTTAAATAACATTCATTCATAACAATTACCGTCACATCTCCTTAAAAATTGCAACAGCTACTCTAATAAGGAGAATTAATTCAAAGTTGTCAATTTTTTTGTCTAAACACACAATTCATTTAATCTACTTGAATACAAATCTAGCAATCTAAAATTTATCATTGTGCAGATTAGAAAAAGTTCATCCTTAGAGAGTTGTTAAATGTGTAAGAGAGGATTTTCAGAGCCAGGAATGCACAAAAATCTCTTACAATAATGTAAGGTTTTGCACCAGAATAATGGGAACAAAAGATATTTTGTTCACAGCAAAGATTTAATAGGGACTGAATAGAGATGGGATGTTTTGGTTTGTTAATAAATCATCAAAGATACACCAAGACATAAGGTGAAACAACAACCCTCAGAAACAGATCCATTTATTATAAGAGTGTTTCTTTCAGGATGAAATTTTTGGCCAGCAGGCAACAGCATCCGTTTCATCATTTTGGTTAAAAGTCAAGTAAATTGCACGTCAACCAAATTCTCTGAAGACCCAAAATTATGCTGGCTCTCCGCTGCAAAACTGGCAGAGTTCATTTAAATTCAGGTCAGTCTATTATAATAAACCACAGGGAAACTGATTTGCAGCACACATCATAAAAACAAAGGATAAGATCACCCCACAACAATCAGCAGCCACTCCGATTTATTGAAAACATAAACTCTCAGATCTGTAATGCATCTTAGAACATGGTTACTATAGGCACAGTCAATTTAAAGAGCATAGTACTCTAAGAGTAATAGAACACTGAAGTCTTCATCAAACATCGGATCCAGTTCCAAAAAAACGCTGTGGTCTAGACTGGACATTGAGTCTGGAAAAGTGATTACCTTGGTTACCACCCTTTTTATCAGATAAGCTGATAAAACCAAACAACACAAAAATCAGAGTGGACGGACCTAATAAAACACTGATCAAGTCCATCCAATAATAGGTTACTGTTACGGCCCCTGGCCTTTAGAGGCTATGCAGTCTTCCTCTTTGTTTATACAGAGTGAGGAGTGGGAGCACACAGCTGATTGGCTGCCCAGAGGCTGCAGAGCTAACCCTTTTGAATGGGCAGAGGATCACCAACCAGACCGACCTGCACCCTATAAACGGCTGCTGTGATCATTCTTTCAGCTATATGCGTGTCTACTTCTGGTGTTTCATGGAGATTTTTATGTTACCACTCCTTGATAACCGTATTTATTTTTTATTTTTTTATCATTATTACATTTGAAAAACGTTTGTTTGTATTTTTTGAGACAGCAAAGCCAAGTAAAAATTCAGTCAAGTCATACCTCTTTAAAAAAAGAACAGTTTAAAACCATCACCAAATAATCATAACGAGTGTAACTTTCATGCCACAATAAGAGTGTGAATATTTCTTACTGAAAGAGCAGATCCTCTAACCTGGTGAGCCAGACTGATAATGTGTAGCACTCAGGTTAAGTATTACACATTATTAATCTGGTAGGAAGAACATTCAGCAGATCCTATTTAAGCTGATTGGACGGAGCAACGCCTAATGCCCGCCTTCCAGAGTTTTATTTTAGCAAATCATGGTAACTAATTGTATAGCAGCAGATGCCATGATAAACAACTTGTGCTTGTTTCTCTTTAAAAGGTGAAATACTGAATCCTGACATAAAGGATGTGATGGCAGCATCTATGCCTACGACCTCCTGAACCGCCATGTTTATTTTGGTTGGAGGTCTCCGCAGCTTCTGCTTAGGCAATAGCTATATACAGAGTGGTTTCTGATGTGTTTGTGAACCTGTTATTACCAAGAGAATTCAGCTTGCTCACAGTGTCATATAAAAACCATGTATGATTATTTTTCTAAAGGTTATGTTCTTTAACTTTAAAGTTGCTGGACTAATCCTAACCATCCTATGTTAATGTGAAAAAGAAACTTGTCCTTTACCAATATCTTCACCTGAATACTTCTGAATTGCTTTAAAAGTAGCTGTTTCATTTTTTATTTATTTATTGCCAGATTTTATCCAAATAAAAACTACACTTTTGATTAATATGTACAAATCCCCAAATATCATTTGTCATTAGATCAGAGTATTCAGCAGGTTTATTTGTTCTCCAACTTTGTTTGTAGTTACATCAACATAAGGCCCAGCTGCACTTATAAAAACCTACTTCCTAGAATGCCTTATCGTCCAATCATTGCGATGCAAGATAAACAAGAGCTAAAACCAATGTAAATACACCTTTAACACATAAATTAAAGGACAACAGCCCTTCGAGAAATAGAAAAATAAACAATAGGCTGCACAATTTGCCTTTTAGGTTAAGGATAGAATGTATGTTGTTTAATTGTGACGGAGAGGATTGGTTCCTCTAACTAATGAAGCTGGCCCTGACAAGATCTGAAACTTTGCCAGCATGTCTGACTCAAAAATACTCAGTGACGTTTGCACTCATTACATTCCCGTTGTTTTACTAATGTGTGTTGAACGCAGGTTAAAAACTGAGAACAGATTTCCGAAGACTGTTTGACATCAGTGAGTTGTTATCTTTGGCTTTTGTCCTTTACAGAGAAAAAGTAAAGGTATAAGTGAGATTAATTTACTCAAGAGACAGTGCTGAAAAAGCAGTAGCATTGCTGTGATAGTCCTGTAATAATAATTATTTTGGTAAAGGAGCAAAAATACCTTAAAACAGCTAAGTTCCTCATTAAAAGAAAATTGTATCCCTTTAGAAATCATTAATTTCGATTAGCCACAGACTTTTGGTTCAGTTAGCCACAATTAGGCCTGAATTTATTCCTCCTTCCTTTATCGACATTATTTCAAAAGTGGTATTTGGCTTGCTTTTTGCATGTCTGAGTAATTCTCATGAATTCTGCTATGAAGCTCTTCCTTTCCTTTCCTAGACAGGGAAATGGGGAGTCCTTTCTCTGGACTCAACTTGAAACCAGTTCCCTCCATTAAACATCTACCTTAACCACACTGAGTCTCTCAAGTAACCAACATCCTCTCTTTCTCTGACCAACAACTGGTCATATGAGGCAGAGGGTGATCATCACAGAAACTGTTCTTTTTTTGGCCAATGTCTAAGTCACAAAAATGTGTTTCTTAGATGTGAGAGTTCTCTGACTTTGGTTAGTCTTTCTACAGAAAAACCTTATAGCCAGAAATGGCATGACACCTCGTTACGGATAGCTAAAGGTCATTGAATTTGGTTGCATCCCCATTGGGAGAGGCATTGTCACAGTAAAGGCAAGTGTCTTTCTTCTGGATAGTAAAAATAGCACAAGAAAAAAAAGTTTTTGTTTTTATAACAAATGAGTACCAGGCAGGGCTAAAGGCATTTATTTAATTCTTTAAAAGGCTTAAATACTTTTAAGTGTAACAGAAAAAGTGTAGGGATCTGTATGAGGAAAATACTTTTTAAAACATCAGAAACTGCTGGTTGATTGTACTTAATCTGTACTTGTATAAATGTGCATCCTCCAAAGAGAGATACACACTTTTACAAAAAGGCGCTGCAACTGGGCGTAAACGGCACATGGGAATACAAGATGATTACAGCTCAATGTCACTCATCTCAGTTCATTTCACTTTTAGTCAAAAATAATGAACACCATCTTTATCTTGCATTCACGCTTGCTTTCAGGAAAATGAATAATTTACGTTTATTTTGTCCTAATGGAAAATCTCTGGTTATGATGCTCTGTATTATTTTGTTTATTAGTTTTCATGAATTACATCTTTAAGTGGAGTTCAAAGAGATTTTGGTTTGTTGTTTTACAGGTTATGATCCATCAACCAATCAGAAACGAATGTTTTCGCCTGTTGAGCCTTATCTTATTCTTTGCGTGTAGTTGATAGCTTGCAGAATCACACGGTAAACAGCCAAAGAGTGAAGGTTCAGAGTAAGAACAATCTGGTGGACAGAGGTTTGGGTTAACATAAAAAGAAATATGTCCAACTTTATTCAGTGGTCATCATGGCTATAGAGGTATGGCTGGTAACTCACCGAAATAACGACTACTGGATGGAGAAGGGCCCGCTTTTCTGACTTTAAAACCACAAGTAAGGCTTCCACTTCTGAAAAACAAGAATGACTGACCTGTGGAGCGAGAGAAGCAGTGAATTACCAAAACAATTCACTGCTAGACGTAATTATTCTATGGATATGTTTAAAATGGGAACTCACAGAAAGCTGGATGAAGTTCCAGTCCCTTAGCAGGTACCTGATGTTGTCTCCCATCAGATCTGGCATGACGTTCAACTCCTGCAAAGATATTTAAACATTCAAATCGTAACTTCTTTTGATTTTAGGACCTTGGTCGTGGAGGACTTGGGGTCAAGTGTCAAACTGATATTGGTGCCCTAAGGTCAAGAATCGTATGGTTTTTAAGACGTTTAAAAACTTTCCATTATGCATGTACATCATCACTCAAGGTGGCAAGAACAAAAATACAGGTAAACAAAGACTACTTCACAAGAACTCTAGAGAATCCCTCCTCCTGCAGCATTTGTAGTTTTTAGACATCACACAAGAACAAAGTTCTTCCCATATAATGGCCGTTTCTCAATTCACGAGAATGCGAGTCCGCACTTGCGTTATCGTCAAGTCCGGTCTTGGCAAGAACACAGGAAAGTCTGGACTCCGCGAGAACGCGAGCATGCAGCATAGATATGGGTTAATTGGAGCAGAAGTGTACTCGTGATGTCACCACACACTCAGCTCGTCTAGAGCTGTATTTCACCTAATGTTATTAATAGTCTCGAGATAATAATAAATTATGACTTTTTACATTTAGTGGGCGAATAATAATGAACACAGTCAGATAAACACAAATCAAATTAACATTTTGCCAAAAAAAAAATTTGCCGAGAGATGGCTGCTATAGACGGGCTGTAGTTAGCCTTGGCCTCCGTTAGCTTTGGAGCTCCGCTGGTTGGCGCAGTCCTCTCAACTTCGGAAATCTTTTTTTTTTATTAGGCGTTCAATCGTTAAATGGACCATATAGTGACACTTTAAAGTATTATATTCTCGCCTCAAATGATCTTAAAACGTACTTTTATTGAACAACAACAGAACAGCAACAGAAAAGAGCACTTTTAACTTTCGATGGAGTGCTCCATCGAAAGCTGCTGCTGCCGCAGTGCATACTGGGACAGCTTTCACTTTCAATCTCAAGAACCAACATGTCTGCTCTGATGCATACTCGATAAAGAGGCCGGGGCGAGAACAGCATCCGGGGATTTGGTGCGTACTCGGTCATGCGTTCTCGGCAATTGGAACAGTGCTCGGGCTGAGGCTGATGGCGTATCACGAGTACACGAGCGCACGAGAACACACAAGAACGCATATTAAGAAACGGCCAATGTCTAAAGCTGCAAGAAACCAGAGCTGATGAAAAGACTAATGCTATATTGTTCTTTCAGCTGAAGAGATATGTCTGTTCTTACAGAGAATGTAATTACCTTTAGGAACATCTAAAGTACTGACAAACATGTTTTGAATTGACATATATGTTGTGATTTGAAAATCCCTAATCTCACAATTTTTTACACACCCTGTACAGCAGTGCAGCATCCAGAGTTGTTTTCTTAGGGTGCTTAGCCTTTTTTAGCCTTATAGATTATCCTACACATGTTTAGTATTGCAGCTTTCACTATAATTATCCCCTTAAAAAACATTTGACACAAAGTCAATAAAAACATTTTTTTAATCTTTTCGTAAAAATGATTTAGTCATTGTTTTGTGATTATTTCAAATAAAATAGACACAATCTCAGAAACAAAAAAAATGGGGAGATGTGAGGTAGAACATTTAGAAGGGGGAGAGAAGAGGCCTTCTGGAAGTCCAGAGAGTTGAGCGTGCACAGGAATCGCCTCTAAATGGAAAGCAGACGGTTTCTAAGCATAATGCCAAGTAAATTACTTTGTACAAAACAACAGCAGCGTGATTCATCAACCGAAACAGCCTGGTTGGAGGAACCACAGGTCCTGTCTGGTGCTAACAGTGAACCATAATAACACCATCCATGTTAGGGGTTGTTTCTCAGAGTGAGATTCTTTCCAGTTCTGAAGAACAGCATCAACGCCTCTACTAAGAAGCTATACTGGCCTAAGGAGAGTGTATGCCTAGTGGGTTAGAGCAGTTTGCTTGTGCTCTGAGAAGGTTGAAAGTACCTGATTTGATCCCAACAGCCTCAACTCTAATTTCCTGAGCAAAACCCTTAACCCCTGATTGCTCCCCGACGCCACACAATGGCAGCCCACTGCTTTCCAAGGGGTTGGGTCAAAAGGCAGAGGACGAATTGTGACATTAAAGGGATTTACAATTTTTTTACTTTTTTTTTTTACTAATATTTCAGGGACATTCTGGTCTTGATCTTTGGATTTTTAAAAAGCAGTGTGTTAGTCTCATATAAAGTGCTAAAAGAAGCTAAAAGACTAGTCATGAATTCTCAGAGTCCTTTCAAAGAGCTTGTATATTAGATGAAAGATTCTAACCAAACATTATTTTTATCTCCAAAACAATAATTGCATGATTGTTAAAGAATTTTGTGCTTAGTTACCCCACTGTTTAAACTATGGTTTGGACAAACAGCTCTTTCCGTTTCCACAATCTTCCCTGCATAAGACACTCTTCAGCTCCTGAAACTCATTCTCTCTACTTTGTGTATGACTTCTTTTATTATAGCGGCAAAATGTATTCTTTGTGAATACAGGTCCTGATTAGGGTAATTTTATCAAAAATGTCAACAACCTTTTTTTCAATTTGCAAATGCAGTTTTATTAAAAGAAAATTCTTTGCACCACCAACAAGCATGTAGGTGTTTTACTCCAAGGTTTAACTGATAATTTTTTTTCATGAGTAACCTCTGTGATGGTTACTCACGTCTTGCTCCGCTGTAAGTTCCTTGGAGCTTAAGGACACCATGCGCGATAGAAGATTATTATGTGTTAATGCATAGGAGCACAATATGAGGTAATCAACGTTTCATTTAGTATGATATTATTCAAACTTATCAGCAACATCCAGCACACAGGCAATTTCTGCCCAAACCTTTTCTTGTAGTTGCGTGTCTTTGTAATAAGGATGTCTAGGATTGTACATAATCGGTTTGTTCTTGATTTCTAATATCAACGTTTCTTCGTCCATAGCTCCAATAAAAAGTTGCTCTTGAAGTAGTGAGTTGTGCCTTTGGAAGATGTTGCGACTGGAGCTGAAAAAATCTTTCAGAATAAAACAAATATCTTGATCGAGATGATAAATCTGCTTCCTTATACATTGAAGTACCAGTAGTTTGCGTGCCATAGTTAAACAAACTGGTGTTCTTTATTGGGACTATATGAAAATTATGTTTTAATTTCTAGTTACCAATCTGTTTTTATCCTATTTTATTTCAACAAACCCAATGTTGTGAACTTTCCTATTCCTGTTTGTGACACTATCGCAATTCAACCTGGCCGCATTCCAACGAACCTGAGCAGAGCGAAACGTGGAATTGCTCTGTATTTTGACGGTTAAGGAAGGAGAACATGTACGTGAACGGTGACATTTGGGGAGTCACAGAAAATGTGGAATGGTACTTATTAATTAACATAACTACCTGGTTTGCATATCGGCATAAATGAATGGAGTGGACAAATAACGGTGGATGTGGAATGTTAGGTTACTGTGGAAATTGTGCCTTCCCTTCTGTTTGGCGGTGTTCTGTCAGCTCAGCATACAGCATCAGGCCAGCATGTTCACACTATTACGCATTACATAGAATGTCCTCTGTCTCCACTCTCCTTACAGCTAATCACGCTGTTTTATTTCCTGATTTAGTCAGGTTTTCGTCGTAGTTTTGTGCATAAAACAACAAAAAAAAGTCCTTCACTAGGTCCACTAAATACATTAGCTTTAAAAAAAAAAAAACATTAAACCTTTACCACCTTATTAAAAAGTGATTGGCATTTTAACAAGAATGTCTCAAGGATTTTATGCAAATTAATTTAGAAATGCAATTTCTAACATTTTCATTTTTATGTTTAACGCAGGAAAATTGCATCATATATGAAAATAAAATATTTCGCAAAATTCTATACATGGATTGAGCTACTCCTTTAATCCCAACTTTGAACAAGATTATTATTACTTTTTTATGGGCAAACTACAACCTTATTAGCAATAGGCATGGTGCTCACATTTGATTCACTTCAATTATCTACCTTCTGCTCTGCCAAGCCACTGTATCCAAGATGACATAATGTCCAAATCAATATCAGCGACGATTTGCTGGGCAGGAGATGTGCTTTGTATGCGTTTTGCAGATGGCTACAGGTGCAACTAGACCCTTACCTAAATCCACTTAAAACTACCTCAACGNTTTTTTTTTTTACTAATATTTCAGGGACATTCTGGTCTTGATCTTTGGATTTTTAAAAAGCAGTGTGTTAGTCTCATATAAAGTGCTAAAAGAAGCTAAAAGACTAGTCATGAATTCTCAGAGTCCTTTCAAAGAGCTTGTATATTAGATGAAAGATTCTAACTAAACATCATTTTTATCTCCAAAACAATAATTGCATGATTGTTAAAGAATTTTGTGCTTAGTTACCCCACTGTTTAAACTATGGTTTGGACAAACAGCTCTTTCCGTTTCCACAATCTTCCCTGCATAAGACACTCTTCAGCTCCTGAAACTCATTCTCTCTACTTTGTGTATGACTTCTTTTATTATAGCGGCAAAATGTATTCTTTGTGAATACAGGTCCTGATTAGGGTAATTTTATCAAAAATGTCAACAACCTTTTTTTCAATTTGCAAATGCAGTTTTATTAAAAGAAAATTCTTTGCACCACCAACAAGCATGTAGGTGTTTTACTCCAAGGTTTAACTGATAATTTTTTTTCATGAGTAACCTCTGTGATGGTTACTCACGTCTTGCTCCGCTGTAAGTTCCTTGGAGCTTAAGGACACCATGCGCGATAGAAGATTATTATGTGTTAATGCATAGGAGCACAATATGAGGTAATCAACGTTTCATTTAGTATGATATTATTCAAACTTATCAGCAACATCCAGCACACAGGCAATTTCTGCCCAAACCTTTTCTTGTAGTTGCGTGTCTTTGTAATAAGGATGTCTAGGATTGTACATAATCGGTTTGTTCTTGATTTCTAATATCAACGTTTCTTCGTCCATAGCTCCAATAAAAAGTTGCTCTTGAAGTAGTGAGTTGTGCCTTTGGAAGATGTTGCGACTGGAGCTGAAAAAATCTTTCAGAATAA